AAGGTTCAGAAATGTTTAGATTTTCTAGATTTACGATTATACATTGAATCACTCTCTCGAAGTAGCCCCCAAATGTAGTCCCCCATCATGTTTTCGTTATACTGTCCTTGGTAAAAAAAGTTTAAAGTCCAATATATTTTGATAAAAGCGCTTGCCTTGCTCTTCGGGGTAAGCGCCCATGTTCTCCTTGAACTTGTTGAGATACGAATCAAGTATATATGAACTTTCAGAGACTCTCTGCATCCCATTTTCACGTAATTTTTTATAAAAGTCTGCACCAACCCCTCATAGTTTTTAGCTTTATGATTACCTAGGAAGTCCTGAACAACTGCAACAAAACTACTCCAAGCCGCTCTCTCCGTCCTTTTCAACAGCTTTGCAAAATCCTTACATTCTATGATTTTTTTTTTGATCTGTGGTCCGACAAATATATCAGCTCTAATTTTAGCCTCGGACAGCTTTGGAAAAAAATCTTGGAGTTATTGAAATGCTGCTGACTCCTTGTCAAGAGCAGTGACAAATTGCTTAATGAGACCTAACTTGATGTGCAGCGGTGGCATAAATACTTTATGAGATTTTATCAGCGGCTTCCACTTCAAATTGCTCAGTTCAACAGAAAATTTGTTCTATTGTGGTCAGTCTTTGTGCCTTAGTGTCATGGCTGTCCCAGAGATAGAAAAAATAAAGAAATTTTGTGAAACCTCCTTGAAGACCCATGAGGAATAATACCGTTTCAAAGCCAACGATGACTTTTCATCTGTAGTTGTCATACTTTAATGCACTCAGCAACATTTTTACACTATTGCAGTCCTCTTGCACCAGTATTAAAATGTCAACTATTAAGTTTACTTTCGAATGTTTTCTTGCAATATTTGCATGTAAAATGCAGTGCCCAAGTTTGTCTTGGTCCTCGACCAAGACGCCGAAGTATACCTTGTAGATCTCGCACATTATACGACTTGCGGGATACTTCCATTTAATTTTCACGCAATACTTTTTTACTATTCTCTTTATGAATTGTCTGCACATGTATCAGAATGAATCAAGTGATGCTAGCAACCTCATGATACTATATCAAATAAATAACTTCTTTTTAACTACGAATCTTTTCCCTTAAAATCTTCAATAACACAAATTGGAATCTTGGTTTAAGTGTGCTTTTATATTGTACTTTTGGAATGTTCAAAAGCGTTCTAGAAAGTTCTAGAAATTTCATGAACGTTCTAGAGTATTTAGGAGGATTGTAGAAACATCTGGACAACTCTAACAGTTTAGGAATATTATAGGAGGTAGCTTGGCATTGAAAGCAAATGGATAATTTTCTCGAAAACACGCAATTTTCCGAATTTCATTGTCCCGATCACAGAGTTTTTCTGGAACAACATCGATTTCCTTTCTGTTCTAGACCTAACGGCTCAGGAAAACACATCATGTGATTTGTCAGACCAAAGCTTAAAATTATAAATTTCGATGTCAGAGGTTGATAAGAGTTGTTAGTTTAGGCTGAGTTGGGAATATAACGGTGACAATGACGGTGACGGTGTTTGTAATAGTTATTAGTAATATTAAAGTTTCGTCGAAATCCTTCTTTCTAGCTTGATTTTTATTAATAGTAAAAATACGCTTATTTGAATTTGAATTAATTTTTCGGATATTGTTCCGAAACTTTTAAAGATTAGTTTTTCGAAGGTATTAAATGCTTTTGGTACTTTTATTGATTTTTAAGTTAAGCTGCAGTTTTATGGAAATTTTTACTACCAAGCTTGTATTTGATAAATAAAATCCAATACTATGATTTGCTATAATTGAATTTTTTCCATTCTTTAAGGTGGAAGGAGAGAATGTCTTTGCAGTATTTTATATCTAGTGTCCACCATAATTTAGAGTAAATGCAGAATATTTTTTGTTTGTATATTTGTTTTGATTTTTGTTTACATTTGATCACAAAGATCACAAAGACCTTATTATCAGAACCTTAAACAAGCTATTTTTTATATAAACTAATTAACTTCTTACAGTGATGAAAGAAAATAAAAATGCTTCAAGTGTATTGACTAATACTATAGACAAGGTAAACTGACTAAATATAAACAGTTAAATAAATTAATTCTTGGTAATAATAAAAAGTTGGCAGTTTCAAAATGTCACTGTTAGTAGAATAAAAGTTCGTTGTCGATTAAAAGATCAAAACTTCTAAGTTTAACTTTAAAAACAAGGAAAAAAGAAGACAAATCAAAATTTTGCAAAACAAAGTTATTTCAAAAAATATGGTGCACCACGGTAATCAATACAAAATTGGTTAAACTTGGTTTGACAAAAAATTTGGTTTTGCAAATCATTATTTATTTATATATTTATTGGACTTTTTAAATTGACATTTAAAGCAAAAATATTTTTAAAAACGGCAGGAACTAAATAACTTTTCTATATATATGCAAAACATAAGACATTGAGTACATTTCCTTCATACATATTAGGTAATCTCATTTCGTAAAAGGCTTTGAATGAGTAAGAAGATCCGTAAATTTAACACAAATTCTGACGGTACCATGGACGTTTTAACCTGTTTCCATCAGTACTCCCCGAGGCAATATTTGAATAACTTAAATAGTTATGAATAAACGAATAATTTTAAAAAGTTATTTTTTATTTTTTCGCATGTAACATGCGGCATGGTGAATTTTTTTTTTCTACTGCTTCTCCCATAAAAAAATGTAATCTCAGAGATAAAACATAAAAAACTTAGAAAAAAATCAGAGAGATTCTGATTATAAATTTTGATAAACTTGTCATCATTCCATGCATAATTTGGAATTGTATTGTATTTTATATATATTGTAGGCAGGGATGCGGAGTCCCAAAAAGAACTCCGGATTTGTAGATCACAAAAAAATTACATCTTTATAGTTCTAAAAATATATAGCTCTAAAAATATAAAAAGGTTTATGGACTACTAATAGGAAATAAACTTTTAGGCACTACAGACCTGGAAAATATAGAGATATTTAGCCGGAGTCCTTTTGTGACTCCCTGATTGCATCCCTGACTGTAGGTAATTTATTTATGACCGATGTTAGACTTTCATTTTTAAGGTTAACATTTGTGGCGATGGGTAAATGTATGGCAACTGTATCATTTTATTTATCGCCTCAAAACATAGGTTTAAAAAACATGCTATCAAAATGTGTTTTTCAGCCAGAGGCAAAACCTTCTAAATCTAATCATTTTTTAGTTCTGGCAATCACTAAGCTGGACAAATTACGCTTGCAAAAGTTTCCTATGCCGGTTAGCATAAATCTCAGTTATAAAAAATATATTGCCACATATTTGTTTAAAGCAATCTAATAAAATTTGCAATCATTTGTCTTCAATTAACTCGATCTTTAACGGACATAACATATATCATTAGCAAGAAATTATATTTGTAGTGAAATTTATACTTTTTTCAATCAATGAGAACCATAAACATTTTTTTAAAACTATATATCTTTTCAATTATATATATCGCCTCCGTTTTCTGGTACGCAATTGAGTTAAATTAAAATAATCGAAACCAATTAATCAAACGCAAAATAATTGCGTGAATCTATTATCCTATAAAAAAAGATGCCAAATAATAATAAGACCTAATTAGATTACAATTATGCAAATAACTTTCAAGTAATCAGTAAACATCTAGAAATCTAACCAATACTTGTGGAATGTCGACAAATAGAATATAATTCGTTTGACTCAGACAATCTAATGACATCTTTAATTTTAGCAAATGAATGAAAAAAACGCGTTAACTATTTTTTAGTATAAAAATACAAAACGTCTGCAAGTTTTGCATTTCATTTGAAAAATTTTAAAGGTTCGGTAGGAAGTTAATAAAATTTGTAGATCAATGTGTAGCATACCTGTTGTGTAATGTAGAAGAGATTATTAGTAATACGTGATACTAAAAAAAAAAGAAGTAATCAAAAGAACTTTTTATTACTGAAACTATACATTATACAAATATAAGAATAATCGAATAACTAAGTATAATTAATAATCGAAAATAGAACAATTTTATAATAAGGAATCTCATAGTAAACAACAACAGAAAACGGAAAATTTTATTACTAAGTTACTAAATATACTTTGGAACAAGTCTACATCCAACGGTCATAAAATTTGTTTTTTATACAGAGCACTTGCTGGTAAAAAAAAAAAAAAAAAAAAAGTAAATATGGTTTAAAGAAAGAAAAGAAAAAAAGAAATAAATTTAAAAATCTATAACAATATTCACAACAAAATTAAACTTCAAAATTCATTTGAATAGAATTTATAAAAACTTACACAAGTTTTGAACATATTAAGGAGACAATAACGATTTCAAAATTATTTTAAGAAACGGTCAAAAAAAAACAACACAAGTTTAGACCTTCAATAATTTTCAAATTGTTCTGTGAAATCAGCAAAAATTTATATAAATATTAAGAAGGTATAAAATAATCTTTTAAATTTTGAAGATTTTAATACTAGTTTCCGTTTTATATTTAAACTCAACGTTTAATGTATTGCTGTCTTTTTAAAAATAAAAATTTAAAAAAATATATTAAAAAAATATTTAAAATCGAAAAATTAAGGGAGAAAGCGAGTATAAAGCTAAAATTGAAAACTAGATTCTTTATTTAAATTGCATTTAACCTTTCCTAGTAGTTAATAATCTCGATAACTCTATAAAAAAGTTTAACCTTAAGGTACTCTATAAGTTAAAACAAAAATTTATAAATAGATATTTAAAAAAATAACTATTTTTTCTTATGTTTGATAAACTGCTAGAAAATGAATAGTCACCATTTTTAAAAAACAAATGGTGGCAAAGAGAAAGGCGTTCAATATTGACGCTTCATGTGTAACCATTTATTACTTTAATATCATTTTTACTAAAATGCAACATGCCTGTTTAAAAAAATCAAATTTTTTAAATTTTGTCTAAAAAAGTTACTTAAAAATAAAAGTTCAAAAAATAATATAAAAGAGGGGGAAATAGAAAATCTTTTCAAAAAATAATCTAAAAAATAAAAATCCCCATTTAGAAACATGCTGAACTACAAAACTTGAAATAAAAATAGAAAACTTTTGGACGCAACAACTACATTATGTACAAAACATATCCACCATATCACAAATGAATATCGATGATCATTAAACTTGAAAACGATGTTTGAATTCAAATTAAAAGCTGTCCCCACAATCAATACTGAAAATAATTAAAAGATTTTTTTAATAATTTATCTTTTAAATCTTTTATATAATTAAAACACTTTTTAAATAGAAAAATATACGCGTATATATAAAATAATTAGTAATTAGAAAACTTCTTCAAAAAAAGATGAACTGAACCAAACATTTCAAGTATTAAAACTAAGATTAGCCTGTATCCTAACCAAAGATTCGGCCTAAGCGAGGGTCTCACAAGCCGTAATTAGAAACTTGGTAGAGTTTAAGAATCTATATTCAAAGATTTGATTATCTTAAGTCTTAGTCTCCGACATTATAAAAAATACTCACTTGTGTAACTTTGGATCAGAATCACAATTTTTTAGAGAGCCGTCTTTATATTTACGATGCTTTCTCTTCCAACAGTTTGGATTAAGTTTCATTCGTTCGTCAGCCATTTCTTTAGCCAGGCGAGAAAAGTCTTCACGCTTTTCTTCAGAAAGCTCTCTCCATTTCTCTCCAAGTAATTTGCTGATGGCTCTTGATAAAGAAAAGCAACACGTAATAACTCATTGTAAATAAATACGTTTATCAAAATAACTGATAAATGTCATTTTTTATGAATTTAAATCAAATATACTAATTTTTATAACACAACTATTATTTTTAAACTTGTCATAACTTCGCATATAACACACACACACACACACACACACACACACACACACACACACACACACACACACACACACACAATTACAACTTAAAAAGTTAGAAAGAGATAAGTATAAAATAATTTGTTTTTGCTATTCTGTTTAAGCATTCAAAATTTAGGAAAATAAACTCTACAATTTCAACCAATGTACATTTAAGTGTTTTCATTACAAGTAATGTCTTAAAAAACACATTCATAAATTGCATACTTACAATACAAGTTGCATATTTAACAAGAATTGAAAAAAAAATTGTAAAAAAAATTGTAGAGTGTATTCTAAATAAACACTTATAAACTAAATTTTTAATAAAACAAACATGAAATGCCTTTTGAAATTTTTTAATTTATTGCACACTATAAAGCAAGCATAAAAATTGGTAGATCTTTTAGTGTTTAAGTAAGAGAAAGGAGGGAAACTTTCAAAAATTACATTTTTTTTAAATTTCTGAAAAAAATTGAATTCAGTCAATTTTAATATTATTATACATACTTCAGCTTGTCTCAAGGTAATAAGGTAACTGTTATTATTATTTTAATCAATGTTTTGATTAAAATTTGAGCAAGTACCTGTTTGATTTCTGTTGCAAGTTTTATAAAGTTGAAAATCTTTTGTAAACTAATTGTCTATGAAATTCAGAGTTTGATAGCTGAAGTAAAATAAAAGGATGATAATGTTGTTACGAAGAAAAATGTTTTACGCTAAAGCCAATTACCCTAATTTTCTGACAGATCAAAAAGCAGTAAATTCAGGAGTAATATATGTTTTATATCTACAACAATATATGCTTTCAGTTTTTTCAACAAATTTTTGCATTTCAAATACTAAAAAATCCTTAACTTTAAAAAGTGAAACTAAAACAATACAAAAAGTAATAAAAAAGCATTACAAGTAAATTATCAATTTAATCAGTCAATAGTCAGAAATAATGATTTCATGGGTAATTAAGTTATACTTTGACAATAATTTCTGCTGATGAACTTGTTGCAAGTATTTTGTCAAACTTATATCATGAAATTGATGAAATTTTTTGGGTATTTTGGTACACCCTAACAATAATGAGTTGAATAGTTCTTTCAAAAGCAAAGCTCAAAATTGCAATCTGAACAAATATATATAAATACCAATTTTTATCATTTTTTAAAAGTTTATTTTCAAAACAAAAATAGTAAAAACTCGGTGCAGTATCACTATTCGTGGTTCAACCTCAAGCAGTACTTACAAGCAACTTCCATCTGAAGCAGTACTTACAAGCAACTTCCATCTGAAGCAGTACTTACAAGCAACTTCCATCTGAAGCAGTACTTACAAGCAACTTCCATCTGAAGCAGTACTTACAAGCAACTTCCATCTGAAGCAGTACTTACAAGCAACTTCCATCTGAAGCAGTACTTACAAGCAACTTCCATCTGAAGCAGTACTTACAAGCAACTTACATCTGAAGCAGTACTTACAAGCAACTTACACTTTTTAAAACCTTGAAAATTGTAACTTAAAATGCAAAAAATATCTATAATTACATTTAAAATCAATAATTTTACTGACCTGTTATCTTTGCCTGGATAAAGTTTGGTTAATTCGATTCTCATTGACTTTCCAAAGAGCATGAATCCATTCATAGGTCTCCTACTCTGTTCACTGCCTTGAAAAGGTTTTCTCCTTCTTTTTTTTTGAAGAACAGCTTTTCTTTCACACGTGTTCATATTTTCAGTTGAAAAACTCTCTTGAGTCATATCAAGTTTATCATTAAATTCAGATAATATAATATTTTCATTGTTTTTACAAGATGTTGGAGGTGGGTCTCGTGGAGGAAAGAATGATGGTTTGTTGGGTGATTTTGAATATGTTAAAGTAATCATGTCTTGGGAGCGACTTGTCAACATAGCAGACGTGGCAGCAACTTTTTCATGGATGGCATTATAAAGACGATTAGATTGAGCTGACGAAATTGGCATTTTCATTTCATTTGGAAATTCAACTTTGTTATCAGTCTTCTTATAAAAAAATAATACTACTTTAAATAATTATTTAAAACAACACATACATATATTGTATATATATACACAAATATCTCTATGTAAATAGTAAATATAAATGCTAGGCTATAGCCACTTATTATTATGGGCAATTATTATTAAAAAAATAAATTCAGGTTTACAAAATCATTTAATTTAACTTGATAAGTTCTTCTAGGGTACATCCAGAAAGTACACACTCAATAAAACTACTGATTTAGAATTCCCTCCTCTCCTGTATGCACATATGTTTTATTCTTACTTATATGAAACTCATGAAATTCAAGAATTTTTTAAGAAAAAAAAATCAAGTTTGAGGAGAGATAGAGAATGAGAGAGCCAAATCACATTTGTACTTGCTGTCTCTAACATATCCTCCTAGTATACATTCATACATTTTTGGGTAACCCCCTTCCTTCCCCATACCTGTGTACGTACGTGGCTCATGGAAGACCTCTAGATTAAATAAGATATTCTAATATAAATATGAAAATGAAAAAAAAAAAAAAAGTCATCAAATAATAAAAAAGTATTACATACTTTGTGAAAGCGCGATGTATCTTGAGGACTAAATGTGAAACTAGAAAATGAAACAATGATGCTATATTTTTTTATTTAAAAAATAAAGCACATAATGTAAACTACAAAAAGGACATACTCATACAATACAACATATAATTTATGTTGTTGCAAAGTTTTCTTTTAAACTTGCCAATTTTTTATTAAAGTAAAAAAATTAGCTTTTCTTTTTAAAAAGAAGTTGACTTAATGGTATATGTGATTTAGAGTATTTAAGATCTATAGTATTAATTTACACTTGGTAAAGAGATTTAACATTTAATAACAATGTAAAAAAAAGAAATGCACAATATAAAAAACAAAAAATTAAATCAAAAACTTAAAATTAAAATATTTTTTAAAATAATTTAATTTTAAAATATTGATTTTCTAAACTTTATTACCAAAAACAAAATGTTTTAATTTAATACTCCAAAAAATCTTACATTTGAGGTCCGTTTGAGCTACAGGATACTGCAGCTGGTGATGCAACAGAGCTAGGAGTTTGATTTATTCTTGATGCTGGCATGCATATATCATTTACATGAAGAGCCTTAAATGGTAAACCATATCTTGCCATTGCTTCAGTAGGATTCGGTGCTGACCAACCTTTGTGTTTTATAAAAAAGGGATGGTCAATAGGACACTTGGCAACTAGTCGCTGAGGTCCAGGAATTATTTGTTCAAATGTTAGCTCTACCATTTCCTAATCGTAAAAGGAAAATTTACTAATAAAATTTAAAAATAAAATTTAATAATAACTCTATATGTAAATCTTATGTTGTAATTATATACATATATATATATATATATATATATATATATATATATATATATATATATATATATATATATATATATATATATATATATACATATATATATATATATATATATAATATATATATAGCAATTGCGCATATAAATATGCTATAGTAGATATTTTGCTGACCTCAAACACTTTTAAGTTAGCAGTTTTTTTTTTTAAACATCTTCACTTCCAAAAAAGTTGCAAGCAACCACTATTAGAGTTAAAAGTTGCTAGAAGAGAAAAGATGAAGTTTATAAAGCAAGATAACGATTAATAGACGACTAAAAAAATTATATGAATCAGGAAAACAAGATGAAAGGAGCAAATTCCAAAGAGCTGATGTTTGAGAAAAAAAACTAGACAAAAAAGAATTTTTATAAATATTTGTGCTGGCATATATCTTCATGAGAGTGCTCAATGAATTAAAGTAAATAAAATAATAAATTAAGTTAAAACAGAGCCGTGTTTGTATATTTTTTATAAATAAAACTACATAAAAAAATGATTTTTTTCATGGAAAAATAATTTAAGAGAAAAATGTTTTGAAAAATATTTTGTTTTGTGGTTATCCAGCTAAAATTTGTTCTCACGGCGACACTTGGATATTAGTTTTGTTTTTTTGTTTAATAATTCTTTGGGATTTTTATACAATAAAATTATTTGTTTTTCATATAAGCATAATAGGCATTTTTTAGTTATGTTGTTGTAGGCAATGGCGCTTTTTATGATGGACCATGTTAAATTGAGAGCTGTTTTTAACCTATCCTTTGTATTCTATAGGTATTTTAAACGCATGATAGTGTTTGTAAATTTTTGTTTTTTTGAACAACTGCTTGTGGTTTGCTATAATTTTCTAATTTTCAACAAGTCCCTGTTGATCCAATATATGTTTTGTCTAGTGTGTTTGAAAATGATGCAACGCACTTATAAATTACATTTGTTTTTCTGCAATCTCAGTTCATAGGGCAGGTTTCGATTAGTTTACAAGTGCAAGCTAAAATGGCTCTGTTCTTTTAAGAACATTGAGCACTCTTTTTGTAGAATACACTTTAAATTGTTTAAATATATATATATATATATATATATATATATATATATATATATATATATATATATATATATATATATATATATATATATATATATATATATATATATATATATATATTTACCAGATAGGTGGCATTGGCAACATGCTTAAATCTGAAAGACCACTGGAGTTTTGGACCTTGAAAAAAAGTTCAGAAAAACTATTCAATCATTGATCCCAGGGGTGTGGAGTCGTAAAAGAAAAAGTAACGACTCCGACTCCTGTTGTTGAAATTTTTTGAGCACAACTCCGACTCCGACTCCAACTTCAACTCCGATTTCAACTCCAAAGAAATATTTTTGAAAAATTCTTTAAATTCTTTAAAAAATATTAAGGGATAAGTTAAAAATTTCTTATTTGAAAAATTTATGAAACATTCTTTGAGGTTGTGAACATAAGGTTAATTGAATGTTTTTGTACATGCACGTGCAATACCGAGAAATTTTACTATTGGAGTCGGAGTTGCGATTTTGTTTAGCGACTCCTACTCCGCTGAAAATGTCTTAACTCCGACTCCAACTCTGCAACCCTGATTAATCCACTAATAGCTAATGGTTATAATTTCAAACAAATTTCAGTACAATGCAGCATAATTTTTTTGCAGAGTCAAGATGAAATAAAAAATTTCAAAAAAAAATTTCAAGAAAAACAATCTCTATAAATGTAATGGCCCCCTACAATTTCATGGAGGTTAACATTTATCAAAAATTATCAAAAAGTTATAAAATTATAAAATAAAACTTTCATTATGTTGAAATTTTTTTTTTCTCTTAATTATTTTATAAAAATTTAAGAATAATTTTTTTATTATAATCGAGTGACCTTTTAGCTATAGAAAAATTGCAAAATAATAATAACAACAACAAAAACAACAACAACAAAACTTTAGCAACATAAAACCATTTCAAAAAAGCAACCCATACTCTGGCAGATGTAAAACTAGGCTTTTCCTCTTTGATTTCTCGAACTTTCATGCCACTCGTGTAAAAATTCATATCATCACGTCGACGCCCTCCAGGTGTTGTGCAAAATACAGCAATATCTTCAGTTTTCATAAACTCTTTATCATCGAGTTCAAACTTAACATTACAACCTGCAAAAATTTTTATTATATAATCAATAAAAAAGCTCAACATTTGGTATTAAGTGCATATTACTTTATAACAAAGTGTTAATTTTAAGAGTTTAGATATGGTTTAAATTATCGAATGTTTTGAGCAACTTTGGAAGGTCCTAAGAAAAGTTATTTAAAAATAAAAATAAGCTTTAAAATAAAATCTTTCTTTTAAATTAATAACTTTTTTTCTAAGTGCTAGATTACCTATAAATAATAATAGCTACTACTATATACATATTATACATACAGCACTCATTTTTTGGTAAACTTTTGTGCGAAAAAACGTAAAATAAAAGAGCAATAAATCAGAAAAAATTAAAAACATGCACCTAATACTATATATATATATATATATATATATATATATATATATATATATATATATATATATATATATATATATATATATATATATATATATATATATATATATATATATATATATATATATATATATAAGAATATCAAATTTAATTAAAAATATTTTTACAAAACCTTTTAAGAAACATAGCCAAACTGGTGTTGGCCACACCTGGGTTGGCCAGAAAGATGGAGTTTGCACATTATCAAGGAAAGGAGACAATGGTAGTGAATTTCCGGTGTTAACTAGACTATCAACTCGTGAAGCATCTGATCTTGATAAATTAGGCGTTGAAAGCTAAATAATTATTATCAGTAAACTGTTAAAAAACTGTATTATATTATACATTTTTTTTTAACAGTTAAGTGGGTCAATATTTTGCTATTATACTAAAATATTTTAGATATAATAGTTGAACCCTTTTGAATGTATCTTACAAAAAACACAAATTTAATTGACAATGAAGAAAATTAGTTAAACAAAACATAAAGAACATAAAATGAACATTTCAAGACTTATATAAAACAACTTTCAACAATTATCAAGGAACAACCTTAGGAGATTGTTATGAGAAATCTTTAAATTTAGAAATTAGGAAAATTTTTTTAGGCATTATTTATTATTTAGGCATAATTTAGACATTAGGAAAATTTTTTTTGAAAATATTAATAATTTTTGAAAAACATTCTCCCTATTTATAATACTTTAATTTTCACAATAAAATAAAATAGCAGTTTTATTACTTCCTCCTTATTATAAAAAACAGACAGTTATTTTCTGCTATTATAACATAAGACAGTTAGTTGTTACAACAATAAACAACTCTTGCTGTCTAAGCTTTTTACATTCTTAGCAGAGAAACATCTCTGGTAATTACAGCATTTTTGATAAATTTTATCAATTTATGTGGTATCTACACTTAAGTAAAGTTTTTGAAAAGTCATTACTAGTATACTGTAACTGTAAAAATCTTTATTTATTTTTGATAGTACATCGATTGTCAATAATCAAACACCAGACATGATAAACATGAAACAAAAAAAGAGTAAAAAATCATATAAGGACATAAAAAAATTTAATTGTAGACTAGTGGTAAACCAGTTGGCAATCAAGGGGTTCAAGGTTCAAATCCACACTACACATCTGGAAGTATTGCACTCAAGCTGTTTCTCAATGTAACAGCTTGTTTAACAAGATTTGTGTTTCAGAATTGAGGGTTGAAAGAGAGTTACAAATTAAATGAAATAATAAAAATTAAAAAAAAAAGAAAAATAATACTCTTTGACTGTAGTGACCCTGAAGCTTTGGATAGAAAAGTTATCCTTGATTTTAAACAAATTGCACGTTTAATTGAACTTTTGAATAAAAATTCAATTTTGCATTGCTCCATTTTATGATGTCAATAAACCAGGTCAAAACAAAAAATACATATAACTCTGTAATTTAAAAAAAACATATATTAAACTAAAAAACTCATTTCCGTACTGCTTAGGTTTTGACTTCTTGCTATGAGGCGAGTGCTCTACCACTACACCACTAACGCATAAATTAGTTACATAACAGAAAATAATTGCTGTGTAAAAAAAGTACTAGTTTCTATTACCATGTAATAACTGTCAGATAAGCGGTCGTCCATGAATTACATCACACAATTTTGAACTCCTCCCCAGTAACAAATTGTCATGTTTGGTAAGACCTCTCCCCCTTAAAATTATGCAACAAACTTGTAATATTTCCACAGTGACATTGTGTAAAGTATAGATTGTGTAAAGTATATAAACAGTGACATTGTATAAAGTAACAGTGACATTGTATAAATAACAGTGACATTGATATAGTTGTATAAAGAACAGTGACAGTGATATTGTATAAAGCAACAGTTGTATAAAGTAACGGAGAAATAACCTCTGAAGATATATTTAATTTTTGATAAATATATTATTTAAATAACTTCTTTAGTATTAAGTTAGTGTTTGTAGCATCAATATTTAATGCTAATGTGTAATAACTATTATTGTTGTTAACAACAATTATTTTTATTTAACAACCATATTATCAAATATTTTTTTATTGATGATACATTGGCTATATCATTGAGTCATAAAATCGAAGACGCAGCTTAGTCTACATTAATCGACTAAAACAACTTATATTGATTAAGGCAATTTATAAAAATTTATAAACTAATCAATTTATAAAACAATTTATAAAAAATTAATTCATAAAAAATTCCAATTCAATTCATATTATAAAGTTCAATTTTATTTAAAAATTCAATTTATAAAAAGTCAATTCCAATAAAATTTAAGTCAATTTAAAAACTTCTATTTATGTTAAGTTGGAATAGTCGCAGTCGAGTGTACATTAACATGGGTTGCACCACAACACTGAATACCCCTCCCCATGTAATTAATTGTCATAAAACCACTGCCCCCTTCCTTATCACAAGACATATTTTGTGGATGACCCCTTAAGATAGATAATTTGTAATAAAAATGAATTTAAAAAACGATTAAAAAAATGGCAATAATGTAATAATTGTAAAAGAAATTGTTTTGAAATTTTTTTAAGAATAAAACAGAAAAAGTTTAAAAATTTAATATAAATAGACTGCCTGTCCAAATCAAAACCCTCAGTCAATGTATGAACACTCCAATGTGTCAATATCTATTTAATTCAGTTAATGTATGTCACTTTAAATATATTTAAAGTAGTAGAATTAATAATATAAGATTACGTATTAACTTAAAAAGTAAAGTATTAATAAATAATAAATAAAAAGTATTAATAAATAAAAAGTAAAGTATTAACTTAAATTATTTAATAAAAAGTTAGTCTATTGCATCAGCAAAGATAAATACCAGGCTGTTTAATGAATAACTTATATTATCTTTTTCTGTCAGAAAACAATTTACATTTTTTACTGAGGAAAAGTAGTAACAATATTGCAAGACTGTAAATTTAAATTTAAAAAATAAATTATACTTTAATTAATTTTGACAAAAAAAAATTGTGTTGAGAAAAAAAAAAAATTATTTTATGATTTAAAAAAATTGAAGCAAAATATATATTTTTAAGTAATAAAATTTCTATACTGTTTTAGTTGATATTATATTATATATATGATATTATATATATTAATATAAAAAAGCAAGTTTTTCAAAAGATTTTTGGAAAAGAAAAAAGATCATTAGATGATATTACTAACCTTGAAAAAGCTTTACACAAAATACTAAGAGATAATGACTAGTAATAGTTTCATGGTTATGCATGAAAATGTCATAACTTCAATCAAAACAAAAAATAAAAAATCAATGTTTTAGGTAGTATAGGCAAGTAAAGGTTGATGTGCATGAGGGCTTTACTTCCTTATAATTTACTTGGAAAAACTTTTAAAGAATTTAGTGTTAGCTTAACATAGGAACAACTATAAATAAATATTAAAATTTCAGTGAAAGAAAAATGGAACAGAAGTAAAAGGCCTCAGGATGAACATGTAAAAATAAATACTATGGCCATATGTAGTTTGAAGAAATATAGCCATCTCTGTTGTTTGTAATGCTTGTAAGCGATCGGTTCACAAAATGTTGTGGTACACATAGAGGTCTAATTAATCTCTGTCATTATTACTAATCAAAGTAAATTATTCAAATAATCTCAAAAAAAGAAAAAGTATATATTAGAGATTATCCAAGTCTTATTTTAAAAAATCCCGAAAAAATCCTTTGTTCCCAAATAACTTCTGGATATATCACTATATACACATATAAGGACTTTTACATTTATACAACAATACAGCTATATTATATGACATTATTTTATATACTAGAATACTATATAATTATTTTATTTTAAAACTTACTGATTTTTCAGAAAAAAAAATCTTTGAAAATGGACTCTTCAAAGACCAATCTGGTGTTCCAGTAGGTAAAATACTTGGAGTAAGCGACAAAGGGAGTGGGCTTTGCTTGAATGGACTCGGACTAGTTGCTATTTCAGCTAAATGTAAAAGCTTGTTGTTGACATGTTTAATATCCTTTTCTTTCTCTGTTTCATCAGGATTTGCTTGTATAAACAGTGGCGGAATTGATTTTGTTCGCGAAATACGACGATTTAACAATGGCAATGAAGCTTAAAAAAAAATGTTAATGCTTAAAAATAAGCTTAAAAATAAATGTTAATTATGTATATATTTCTATAGTTTGACATTTACCGCATGTGGTAAAAAACAGCTCCTAACAACTCTTTGTGTTTAAAAGTGAAAAATTAAACTTATATAAAAAACATTAAATTTAAATGAGAAAACTAATTAAATTTTATTGTTTTTTAAAAAACCACAAATACACAACTAGATCGGATATATATATATGTGGTACTGTTGCCTGCCCTAATATATATATATATATATATATATATATATATATATATATATATATATATATATATATATATATATATATATATATATATATATATATATATATATATATATATATATATATATATACATATATATATATATCAGGGGCTATTCTAGAGTGCTTTTGACAGTGTCAACCAAATTAAAATTTGACCTTTTTGTTTTTAAACGTTTTTTATGGCAAATATTGTTTTTTTTTTTTTTGCAAAAAAATACTTATTTTTCGCTAAATTTCTATGGGACCTTTACACTGGTTTTTTTATGAGCATATGATAATTTAATATAATTTATATTTTACATAAATACCACCACCTTAGATTAAACACAATATTTTATAAGAGATCTAATTAAAAGATTATATTAAAAAATAAAAAGAATAATGCATATTTTATATATATATATATATATATATATATATATATATATATATATATATATATATATATATATATATATATATATATATATATATATATATATATATATATATATATATATATATATATATATATATATATATATATATATATATATATATATATATATATATATATATATATATATTATATATATATATATTATATATATATATATATTATATATATATATATATATTATATATATATATATATATATATATATATATATATATATATATATATATATATATATATATATATATATATATATATATATATATATATATATATATATATATATATATATAAAGATAATAATAAAAATAATGCATCTAAACATAAAGAAGTTAGTTTTGCAATGGCTTCCCAATGCAATGTACTTTTTCAAAGAACATGTTTAAAACACTGAGTAAGACTAAATATTATGCTAATTTTTTAAACAAATTAATTTTAACAAAATCTACTCTCACCTACCTAATTGTAGGGAGGGCTGATTAGCTAGGGGGAGTAGACTCAATGATAAAAATTAATTAATTGGGTTGTTGTAATTGTGGGGATAGGTGAAAATACATCTAAGTTAGCGCAGATCGGAAAGAATGGTCAATAAATTGGGGTGGGGTGGTAATTTTCTTTTTATACATTTTAAGATTGAATTCTTATGCAATCGTTATTTTAAAAGATTTCTTTTAAATTTAGATCCAGCTTTCACTGGATATAAAAATGTGCAACAATGTTAAGATGGTATTTTGAAAATACTAAAAACCAACCTGTTACATTTATTTTTCTTTTCGAGCACTGCTAAATGTAGTACACAAGGTACAAGTTAAAACACAAAGTTTTAATGAATTAAATTAAATAAAATTGTAATTAAAAATTTATTGCTCCAAAATTATTAAATTTTTGCATTTGTTTTAAAAACCAACATGCTTTAAATTCTTATACTTTAAAATAACTTTTTTTAATAACTTCGCCTCCCCAAGGCTGAGGAGGTCACTACAGTAGTAGCAGGACATCATCAGCTAAAATAAGAAAAAAAAAGCATACAGATTTAACATTTAAAAATAATCGCAAATTACAACAGTTAAAAGAAATTTATCTCTGATCAAATATTTTAAATAAATGAAATCGTGAAATAAGATATAAAATGTAAAATATAAATATTTTAGTTAAATCTTATTCAATGTTTTCTTGTGAACCAAATATAACCATCAATTAAATACTCTTAACTCTCAAACGCAGATATATATATACAACATTAAAGACAGAGTTTAAAAACATATAAAAACGAATTATATTTATTTTACAACAAATCAAAAAAATAATTTATTTTAAAACATATCTTATTACTTTAATTATCAATTAACTAATTTATAATTTAAAACATTTAAATTTTTAAATGAATAATTCCTCAAAGCTTCCCCCTAAACAATTATTTGTAAATGTGTTTATTTATTAAACAACAAACAATTGTTTAATAAATATAGACATTTACATGTTCAAAAAAAAGATTTTTAACAGATCTTCGCAGTAATGTAAACAAAAGAAAAAATAATTAAATTATTTTTTTAAAAAGTTGATATTTTTTTATTTAAAGACATAAAATAGAAAATGCAAACTTATATAAATATAAAAAAATATATATAATATTTATTAAGCTTTATATAAAAAATCATTAGCAGTGATTTGTTACTTTATTTATATGCATTTTAGGATCAAATCATTATATTTCAACCAATTTGAAAAAATCTCTGTGGGTCACTATCTCTGATTTTCTGCAAAGACTTATGGATGAATAGAAAAATGCTACAGTTAGTTTCATTTTGGCATATTTTAGCAATTTTAGGATTTTTTCTTAAGATAAGGAGGTCATAATTTTTCTCTAATTTAATACAAGTTAATAAAAACCACTTTTTTAAAAAGAACTATCCAGAAAATAGTTCTAGAAAAAATGTTATACTTGTTGAAACTGAGAAAAAATTTATACAGCTAAAAATAGCCTGTAAATTGTAAATTGTACTTTTGTAAATTAAGGAGGCCACGTGTCATGTTTTTAAGGCTATAATTTCTGAACCGTTGTACTTGTAAGTCTGTAAATCTCAAATTTAACCTACATAAAATCTACAAAATGCACATAACAGTATGTAAAAAATAGAAAAATCAGAGATGGTGACCCACAGGCCATTGGGTGAAATATAATGATTTGACCTGTTAATAATATAAAAACATAAGTAAAGTTCAAAGTTATTTAATTTAAAAAGTTTTTTTTATTTTTTCTCAACAAAATCTTTCTTCATTTCGAGTGTATTAACTTTAAATAAAATCATTAGTTACTATATTTAAAAGCATTTTGCTAATACAAAAACATTAGTAAAGATAAGCGTGTTGAAGTTATTCAATTGTAATGTAATTAAAAACCATTTTTGCAGCGCATTTTTAAAATGTTAAAAACCGTGGTCAAATTATCAAAACATATTATTATAACAGTTACCTTGTGCTGAATACAACAAAGTGCTAACAGTTAAGCATTTTCTTAGCATAAGTAACTTTTAGCTCATTTAATTATTGATAATTTAATTGAATTTTTATTACAAGATAATAATCAGACCAATCTTAAGATAACAAACAACAAACAAATTTTTTAAAACTTACAATTTGGGTTAGCTGTTTTTTTTCCATAACTTCCAGAGTTAAGCATTTTTTCGTTTTTTTCTAGTAGTGGATGCAGCGAAGGTAATCTGTTTGAATTACAAGAAGAAGGGGATTCATTTTGAAAAACACAATCAGAAAATTCAGTTTCATTACTGCTGTCTGATGTTTTTCTTAAATTTAAAGAAGTTGCATTATTATTTCTATCACAAGGCAAATTGTTATTTGGCGAAACTTGATTGGGAGCATTTATATCAGGAACAATTTGCTCAGTATTTTGAACATTATTAGGCATTTTAAAATGACTATTGTCAACATGCAATATTGGTTCAGAACCAATTAAACCACATTGTTCAAAATCCATTTTTCTTGAACCAGTAATACACGAAGGACTTTGAACTGAAAGGTTGGCTGGATACTCCTTACCTTCTAAAGGCTCAAATTCTCTATATCTGTTTAAAGGATAATTACGCAATCCTGAACAGTTATAATGTATATTTTCATTGTCATTATAAGTATATGAAGATTGACGTCGAAAATCTCTGTGTAAATTATTAAGTCCTTCATTATGTTGTCCTTCAAATTTCATGCAATTATAAAATCTCGGATTTTTTTGTAAATAATCAACAGAAGCTATGTCACCTGTTGAAAGTCTTTGACATTGCTGACGAAACTCATTGTTTGCTTGTTGACATTGTTGAGTATACTCTGTTAATGAAGGTCTGGAAAAATATTCAGGACTAACAGACTGTCTAAAATTATTTCCTAATCCAAATCTTTTGGAAAAGTCATTACTTACACACTGTTCTTGGAATCTTTTATCAAAAACTGAAAAAGGCTCAATTTTTGTATAAGGACTTTGTAATCCTGAACCTGAGGAATTGCTAGAAGCACAAAGCACATTGTCAGATGGACTTTTAATTAAAGGGCTGGGAACACCAGGCAAATTTTTCATAGATGACAGAAAACCAATGGGACTTTTGGACATAAAATTATTTGGTTTTTGTGGATATGTTTTCTCTGTTGAGGTTCTTGAACATGCGTCGTTTGAATTCAAAAACGGTTCCTCTTCAGAACTAATCGATTCTGAATCTCTAAAATTTGCATCTATATTATGTTTAGATAACACTGGCTCTATATGATGAGCTTTTCTTAAATGATACTTTAATCCATTTGCACTTTTAAACTTTTTGTGACAACACTGACATAAGTGAGGGCGAGGATCAAGAGCGTGAGACTTTAAATGGTAGCGATAACCAGGAGACGATCGAAAAACTTTATCACAACCATCTTGTGGACATCTCAATAACTTTCCTGGTTTTCCTTCAATAATGCATCCTCCTGCTGTGATGTCCTTGAAAAAAAAAATTATTCTTCAATTTTAAACAATGAATTAAAACTAAATTATTTAGAGTATTTTAAATCTATTTATTAAAAAAAAAATTATACAGGATAAAATGTCTTTAAAATAAATACTGCTGCAATTACTACATGTACTATTAAATGAAATCAGTTTTTTAGAAAATAAATCTAAGCAATAAAATAACTCAAAAATGTTTTATATGTTTAAAATGAATACACATACATTTATGTTAGGATGATTCAAAAAATTTGACCATAATAAAATTCAAGTGCTTTTGGTTAAATTTAACAAATCTAGATGCAAAAATAGAGGTCTAAATTTAAAAAACGATCAGTTAGCCAAAGCAAAAAAACTCCATTTTTTTTAATGCTTACACAATTATTTAAAAGAAAAAAAAGAAGCCCTTTTTAATGCAAACTTTAGGCCATTAATAAAAGGGATGCTACTGTTGGTTGGTAATTAAAGCTGAAGATGCTTATATCAAAAATCTAATAAAATTATATCTAATAATCTCTCTCTCTCTCTCTCTCTCTCTGTTATATATATATATATATATATATATATATATATATATATATATATATATATATATATATATATATATATATATATATATATAAACATACATAGAAAAATATACTGTATATATATATACAAAAATATAACCTTGTGCAAACTACATTGAATAAAAAAGGCTAAGCTCAAGTTTTTTACCAACCTGATGCCGACCTCTAACAGTTTAAGATCTACTTTTTTCGACCTCATTTTTATATATATATATATATATATATATATATATATATATATATATATATATATATATATATATATATATATATATATATATATATATATATATATATATATATATATATCAACCCTCGGAATTAGAAAAAATGAAGTCAGCAAATTATTGCCAACCTCAATCTTAGTGAGATCAGCATCAGATCGGCAAAAATTATTTGATACAAAGGTCTGACCATAAAATATATTAGCGAGGTCGGCAATTTTTGCATCAAACACATTCAGGCCAGCAGTTAGGTCGTGATTTCTGAATGCCGACCCTAATTCCAAGGGTTGATATATATATATATATATATATATATATATATATATATATATATATATATATATATATATATATATATATATATATATATATATAACCAGTGTATAAAATAAGAAATCAAAGGCGAGCGGTCATTTTGACCAGCTAACCCTTGGAATTGACGGTCAACTGTTTTTTTTGGATGATCAACATTTTTATTATTTTCTTTGTTTTCATTTTAATCTTCGTAATAGTTCTTCATGACTGAACTTTATAAATACAAAAATAACTTAACATTTGATAATTAACAAATTAGTATTCCTTTTTTAAACTTGCAAATAATTAACATTAAAATTACACACCAATGTTAATAGTTTAAAATTAGGCGTGCAGATTTTCATTTTATTTCTTAAAGGAAATTTGATAAATTGATAAACTTTTTCAAAATTTTAATGATTGTATGATAATTTAGTACATGTTTCTTCCAAATAATAATCTGATTATTTTTCAAATCTTGTTTTTTAAAACTCTGATTATTTTTTAACCGGTCAACCATGACCAGCAAGAATTCATTTTAAGAGGTCAAAATAGCAATTTTACTCATGGCGGTCATTGACCGTTGATCAGCCGTTATTTTACACGCTGTATATAACATTTGTTTACTTTAAAAGAATAAAATGAAACACCTTTCAATAATTTTAAAGCAACTCCAAAAATCAAAATAATTTGTCTTTATATCTTATAAAAACCTTTAAAAAAAAGAGTCAAATCTTCCAAAACAAGATATTTTTGAGATTTTAACAAAAAACTTCATTATTTTTATTGTCATTTTGAATTTAAATAACTTAAAATTAAGTTATAAATATAATTTGAGTATTTTTTTGCAGCTAATATTTAATGACAAAATAAATCACTAATAAATGAAAAGAGTTTTTTGATCAATCTTTTGCAACTTAACTTAAAAAAAAAAGCATCAGTATAGATATATGAAGATGATATATGAAGGGCCACTGTTTTCGGTATTGGATGTGGATTCAAATCTTTTTTTAATTATATTTTATTCACTTAATAGATATTAAAAAAAATAATTTTAAAGTTTTAAATAATGTTATGAAGTAATTAAGTTTGGATTAACTTTCTCTTCAGTTTGGTTTTTTCAGTCAAGATTGCTCCCCTATATCAAACCCAGTCAATATAGCAGCATTTCTTTGAGGCAGCAGTCTAAAAGATAGGCATTGCATTCATGGAAGCCCTGGCTAGCAGGATATTTCAATGTGACATCAGAGTGCTAATTTTAACACATATCTATAGTTGTATATATATAATACTTCTTACATAACGTTTGTTTTGCACTAAAAATTATTGCTATTTAAATTGTTTATAAAATTATACCAAAAAAAAGTTTTAAAAGATTTATACAAAAATACATATTTATATAAATGTAATTATGTGTAATATACTTTGATAATTTAAATAAAATGTGTTTATTGTAAACATAATTAATTTTTTACTTTATTTTATAAAGTAATAAGTAAACTTAATAATTCATATATTTACAAATTAATTGATGTATTTAATAATTTTGTATTTTATTACATTATTTATGTATTTAATATATTTACGTAATATTTTATGTATTTAATAGTTTACAAAGCATTTCCCATAATATAGTAATTTTTAAAAAACTTAATATAAATATATTTTCCATTTAAATTTTAATTTTTTAAACTTAAATTTTTTCTTTTTTTTTAAGATTTTCTTTTTGATAGATAATTTATCTGGTAAATTTTCTTTTTATTTTCAGCCCATTTTAAAATGCCTAGATTTGTCAAAACAAATTGTGTGGTCAAGTTGAAAAAACAAAATATTTTAAGCATGTTAAGGAATGGCGTTTGATCGCACATTTTTAATTTTTTTATTAGTAGAAAAAATTTTGTTAATTCGAGCCCTGTATATATATATATATATATATATATATATATATATATATATATATATATATATATATATATATATATATATATATATATATATATATATATATATATATATATATATATATATATATATATATATATATATATATATATATATATATATATATATATACTTAGCTAAGCAATATATTTAAGCAACATTTCCTTGCATATTCTTCCTAAATAGTCAACCGATGTATGTGCTAAAGCCCTCACACCATACTATTTCAGTATAGTGTTATCATAAAACATAAAAAAAAGGTCGGCAATTTTTTGCCAACCTCAAACACTTTAAATTCGATAGTTAAGTCGAGATTGCCTAATGCCAACCCTAATTCCGTGGGCTGATACATATATGATACATATATATATATATATATAAAAGAACAACTAGTCTTGCACAAAACGCTACTAATGAATCAAATAGAAATCTGCAGAGACTTCAGTACATATACTTTTTATAAAAGAAAAAACAAACAAAAAAAATTTATTTAATTATTCAAACAGTATGAATTTAATTTTTCAAATGTGAGTCAGCAATTTAATATTTCAAGTGTGAAAAATAAATTAGAACGATGCCAAAAAAAACCCAGGTGTGTAGTATAAAAGCTGTTAAACTTAAAATAAAATCGACAACATTATTATACAAAGTAAAATTAACAATATTATTACAATTAAATATAATAAAATAAGTACTGTAGAACTGCAACTGTAACTGTAGCAACATAATTCAAATAAACAACTAATTTAAAATAAAAGGTTGATTTGTTTAACTTATTTTAATGTTTGAAATAAAAAATAAAATTCTGTATTTATGTTTTTATTACACTTCTTTTGTTTACTATTTGTATTATAATTATTAAAATGATTATTATTACTAATAATATTGCTTTTATTACAATTATAAATTTATTTTACAGTATTTATTATTTTTGTTAGTAGTAGATTGGTATTTTTATTTTTTATTATCTAAACAGAAAAAATTTTGTAATTTTATAAAAGTTGTAATTTTGTTTGAAATTAAATTATTATTTAATAAATGGATAGTAATAATAAAACCAAAAAAAAAAAAAATCTAACCATATAACTAAATTATTTGGTTAGTTGTGAAAACTCATATGAATTGAACCTCTTAAGCATTAACAAAAACATCAAAACTATGTGCTACTTATGCATCAAAAATTTTAATTTGATTGTTTACACAATAAACAATAAAAAGAGGCTCTTTCTTTGTATAAAGGTTGTAAACATATCCTGGCAGGTCATTTAGGTAAATGTGTGAAACAGTTTCATCTATATAAACAGATATTGTCACTTTGTGTGAACTTCTTTTTTTTAAATTACCTTAAAAATTAGGTTTATTTCAAAAATGTTAAGTTACATTTTTATTTATTCCTATTGAATTAGTTTAACACTGGCAACACAAAATTTAATTCAATTTTTAAAATTTAATTGCACAATGTTAACAAGTTAAACATTTACAATGATTGACAACTTACTACAATGTTAATAAGTCATATAGAAGGACAGAAAATTCTTCAAAAAATCTATGGATTTGGAATTTTCTTAAGGAAAAAAAGCATATATTAGGTATTATTTTTAAACAATAATGTAATTCAATTTGTATCTCTATTGAACATGCATTAAAAAGCTAAATTAAAAATAATACATTCAAATGTTTAATTGAATTTAAAAAACTAGGTAAAAAATGACAAAACCGCATAATTCAAAACCCCTTACAAGTTAAAAAGTTAGATAACATACATATATATATATATATATATATATATATATATATATAATATATATATATATATATATATATATATATATATATATATATATATATATATATATATTGAATTAATATTATTATAACTTATTTATTTAAGAAAACTAAACAACCCTAATGTATTAAAATATTTTTAATAAGCAGTTTAAAGATATACATTAAATTTAAGCACTTTATAACTTTATAAACAAAAATATAATTTTTAAAAATCTGCTATAGAAAACATTAATGTTATATATATATATATATATATATATATATATATATATATATATATATATATATATATATATATATATATATATATATATATATATATATATATATATATATATATATATAAATATATATATATATATATATAAATATATATATATATATATATATATATAAATATATATATATATATATATATATATATATATATATATATATATATATATATATATATATATATATATATATATATATATATAACACATTAATATTAAGGAATTTAAAAATATACAATTTTAAAAAATGAACTATAGAAAACATAAAAGTTATTACATTTTTTTATTTTACTTTATAAAATTGCTATTGATAGCATATTCAATGAACCTTTAAAACACACAGTTTTTCTTTCACAGTAAATACCTACCGTAAAAGTATTTGTCATAACCATAACTTGGAAGAAAAAAAATTAAAAATACTTTCTTTCAAACTGTAACAAAATAAAGCATTCTGAATCTAAGTGAAATATTAATCTATACAAACATTTGCCATGCATGTTTGATTGAATATCTTAATC